TGGAAAATGTTCTTCTTAGCAAAGTATCACAAGAATGGAAGAAAAAGTATCCAATGTACACAGCCCTATTATGAAACTAATTTATAGTTCTCAAATGAAAGCTATACCCTAATTATAGCCTAAGAATATGGGGAGGTGGAGGGGAAGGGAGAGGGGTGGATGGGTGAAGGGAGGGTGATCGGAGGGATCACTTCTATGGTTTATCTTACAAGGGTACAAGTGAATCTTTCTAAAAATAGAATATAAACATCTTAACACAATAACTAAGAAAATGACACAAAGGCTATGTTAACCAGTTTGATGAAAATATTTCAAATTGAATATGAAAACACCATACTGTACCCCATGATTGCGTTAATGTATACAGCTATCATTTAATTAAAAAAAAAAGAAATTCTTATTCAGCATGCTAAGCCTAGTGTTCTTAAAAGAAATAGCTGAATTTATTATGAAATGCTAGAAATGTATAAACTTACCTGGTCATATCTTTAAAACTGCCACACTGATTGTCAGGGTATCAGTAAAAGCAAACAAGGATAAATGTGAAAGAACTGAAATGTTAACACTTTGGTTTTATGTTAAACTGTTTTAAAAATGATTTTCTTTTCTTGTTTTTTTTTTTGAGACAGAGTCTCAAGCTGCCACCTTTGGTAGAGTGCCATAGCGTCATAGCTCACAGCAACTTCAGATTCTTGGGCTTACGTGATTCTCTTGCCTCAGTCTCCCAAGGAGCTGGGACTATAGGCACCCGCCACAATACCTGGCTATTTTTTTGTTATTGTTGCAGTTGTCACTGTTGTTTTAGCTGGCTCAGGCTGGGTTTGAACCTGCCAGCCTCAGTGTATGTGGCTGGCACCCTACTTGTGCTATGGGCACTGCCTTAAAAATGATTTTTACAGTTTTTGGCTGGGGCTGGGTTTGAACTTGCCACCTCTGTTATATGGGGCTGGTGCCCTACTCCTTTGAGCCATAGGCACTGCCTTTAAAAAGGATTTTTAATTGTGATAAAATATACTAGCACAAAAGTTAACATCTTAGGACTTTTTAACATGTTCAACTTCATTCTGTCTACCTACCTTGTAAACTGTCGACTCTCTTCATGAACTTCCATTTCTGTGCTTTTAAATTCATTTAGTTCTTTCCTTATTGCTGCCTAAATAGGAAAAAAAAAACCCAGTTAAATAAAATTGTTATGTGGGTCACATATTTCCCTAGTATAGACAGTAGCGACCAAGCAGACATTCCTTTAATAAATGTCTTGGAGAGAGAAAGGATTCCTAACCTATAGCAGGTAAAAATGTAATACCTATGCCATTCTACAGCAAAGTAAAAGCAGAACAGCCTTCCTTCAAGTGTCTTGAATTGGTAGTGGTGGGGGGGCTTTTCAGAATTCATCCCTTGGCCGACTCTGTGAGTCACACAGAACATCCCCTACCCCTGATGACCCAAGGGAAAGAGCAGGTCATGCGATTTTTCTGAGAAAGAGTATCATTCTCCTATGAAAGGTCTGCATTTAATCCTGCCCACCACGACATGGCTTTGGCTTCTTAGAAGGCGGCAGTTATGCACCCTTTAATATGGCCAGTTTACACAAATACAACTTGAAATTTCAAGATAGCCCTGAAAGAAAATATCAAGATAGCCCTCAAAGAAAATATCACGTAGGACACATTACTACTTAAAGAACTCACAGTCCACGCCACCCAATCTTTGGTGTTCAAAAAGATGGGTACACCATTCAGATGGAAAAGCTGAGATGCTCATCAAAATTAGTTATCTGGTAATAAAGAGCGGCAGAACCTTGGACGCTTGCTGGTTTCAGTTCTTTGGCTTATTTTTATTTCCTAATTTTTCTATGAAGAATGTCTTACTGGTATAAGAAAAAAAAAGTGCTAATAAACACACCCCAGTCACTTCTAGGCAAAATGGACTCACCCGTCCAAACACAGAAAAATACTATAAGCCACGAAGAGTGACTTCACAGGAGACAGGAAAAGCTGCTTCGTGGTTGAAAAATAGTGAATTTCAGAAAAAGGAAAAGACAGGAGAAATCCCCAAGGCCTGTCTCTGTCTCTCCTACAGTAGCCATCTCTGTTTTTCCCCAGTGGTCCCTTCAATGCTCTGTTTGAGTCCTGTTGTCACAGACTGTCTCTTCTCCCCAGATATATTCCCCAGCCCCCACAGGGTCTGTGGGGAGCCTGTGACTGAGCACTGTGGCAGCAATTACTGCTACTGACTTTTGGAAGAGGCGATGAAGCAGGCAGTGACATGTCTGTGGGCCTAAGTGCCGGTGACAGAGCTGTCCAGCCTGACTCACCAGTCAGATCAATAGTAAGGACATTTTGCTTTGCACACCACACAAATGGATACCCGGAGGCAGAAGGGGAAATAGTGGAGACGCTGTCTGCTGCTCACCAGCTAACATCGGGAAAGAATTCCTCTTTGGAAGGAGGCATCTTAATTTGAACAGTGGCAGACAGAGATCCTCTCTCTGTGCCCATTTTCAATTTCTCCTCCAAATGGGAAGTTTCAGCAAAGGGAGTACAAAGCAGAACACTCGCAGGAGAAGGGATAGATTCTTAGTTAGCAGTGTGACCCTCAGTAAGTCAGTTTGCTCCAAAAGTTCAATTTTCCTGTCTGGAAAATGGGGAGGGAATTCTTGGCAGTAGTAGCATGAGGATTAATCAAGAACACATTTGAAAGGGCTTTGTACGCTGTAAAATCATTAATAAAATGTCATTATTATAAGGCTTTCCAAAACCAAATTATTTTAGTATGTGACTGTGACTACCAACTCTTTCATCTTTATTTATGGAGAGTCTACTAGAATGAAAGAAAATAATGTTCCTGAAAGAGATTCAAACATAAATAAGAGAAAAGTCCTTCCTCACAGTAGTAGGTTGGCTACTGAGCTAAGACTCCGGCCAAAAAAAAAAAAAAAAAAATTAAAAAAAAGTCAATGAAAGCATTCTTCGAGAAACAATTGAGTATGAAATTTACAAAACAGTCCAATTATAAATTGTGTGCTATACATCCTTTATAGTAATAAAATTCACAATTCACTGCTGACCGTGTCTATATGCACACATTTTCCCCCAGAGAGCCAGTACGCTGTGGGCACATCTCACGTGTCCATCTTTGATGTGACCGTGCCACCCCTCATTAAGATGTGGAGTCACTCTCTCCAGCCTTGACTCCAGGTGAGCTCTAACTGCCTCGAACAACAGAACACAGTATGGGTGATACCATGCCAGTCCGAAGTGTAACCTTAACTGGTCTGGCACCTGTAGCTTTTTTTTTAATTAATGTTTTTTAGAGATGAGGTCTTATGACACTACCCATGCTATTAGGCTAAAGTGCAGTGGCTGTTCACAGGTGTGATCATGGCTCACTGCAGCCTCAAACTCTTGGGCTCAGGCCATCTTCCCACTTCAACCTCCCAAGTAGCTATAAGCTATGCCTAGGACTATGTGCGCCATTACACATTTTTATTAAAATTTTTTTTAGAGATAGTGTCTTACTATGTTGCCTCAGCTAATTCTTGCTTCTTGATAGCCAGCTGCCATGTAAAAAATAGTGCCTGCTCTCAGGAAACCATCCTGTGAGTAATATGTATGGAAAGGCTCCAGAGGACGAGATGCCACGTGGACAGAGGGAGAGAGGCCAGGAGGACCAGGCCCAGGCAGTGAGTGACCAAGCCACCTCAAAGTGGATTCTCTAACCCCAGCACCCCCTGATGTCACAAGGATCAGAAACAAACTGCGGAGCTCAGCCCTTCCCAAATTCCGAACTCACCGAATTATGAGCGAAACAACTACTTGCTTTAAGCCACTAAGCTTTGGGGCAGTTTGTGACAAAGCTGTTGATAACCTGAATGCTATTTCCAGGCTTCTATCTTACGAATGATAGTATGAAGGTCCAGAGAGGCCACGTGAGTTGCAAGGTCTCAAATGGGTGTTGAGTAACCAAGATGGGGCTCACACACAGGGCTTCTTACGTCAAGTCCTATTCTCCTTCTAGTAAAGTGAGCTTCACGGCCTCATCATCAGAGAATCGCCTCAGAGCGCGACGTTGTGTGAGATGATTTGTAATTAGAAAGGATGAGTCAGTTACACGAACGATGTGGAAATCAATGTGATGTGAAATTAAAGGGACTGTTGGCTTGAGAAAAATATATTAGCAACATGTGCCTGTAGGCAATGAAAAAATTTTTTTAAACACATATTTTAAAAATTCACTTAAGAATGACCACGATGTTATTCCAAGAGTTACTTCTTGGAATAAAAAGAATGATTTTCTGAGAGGACTTAGAAGGGAAAAAAAAAGTAATTATGACCCTTTATGATAGTGAAATCTGTATACAATAATCTTAACTCTCTTCTTTGCAAAGACAACCAGAGTAACTCTTCACATAGCATAAAGGGGACTGATTTATGGAACAGGAGGAGGTGGGCTGAGATAGTGGGATAGAGGGATTGAAGCTCAAAACGGTGCTGGGTTGGACCCCTAATGGGAAGCCCTTGAACCAAAACTAGGTATTCTAGGGCAGAAACAATAACAGAACTCCAGGAAATAGCACTAAGACCAAATACATTGTATTTTGTTATCAGGAGAATTACAGAGAAGGAAAGGGTAATAAACCTGACTGAAACTAAGTTTAAAATTGGCTAGTGGTGAGTAGTAACAGAAGGTCTGATCAGTCCTAGGCAGCTCAGGGATGATCCTGGCAAGCAAGAGGTGACTGATTTCTTGAAAATATGGACCCTGCTGCCTTCTCCGTCTGTCTGTCTGTCTCTCTCTCTCTTTTGGGACAGAGTCTCACCCTGTTGCCCAGGCTAGAGTGCTGTGGCCTCAACCTAGCTCACAGGAACCTCAAACTCCTGGGTTTAAGTGATTCTCCTGCCTCAGCCTCTTGAGTACCCATGATGGTCTTCACAGAAATAGAAAAAATAATAAGACCCAGATTAACATAAACCATCTTGAGCAAAACAAACAAAATTGGAGGGATCATATTACCTGACTTCAAATTACACTACAGAGTTGTAGTATCAAAACAGCATGGTACTGGCATAAAAAGAGAATCGAATATAATAGAGAACCTAGAATTACAACCACCCATCCACAGCGAGCTCATCTTCCACAAACATGCCAAGGATATACACCGAGGAAGGGACAGTCTCTTCAATCAATGATGCAGAGAAAACTGCCTGTCTATATGCAGAAGAATGAAACTAGACCTTTGTCTCTCACTAGACATAAAAGTCAAATCAAAGTGGATTTGATTAACACACATTGCACGCCTGTATCAAAACATCACATCACTTTATGAATATATACAACTATTATGTACCCACAGTAATTAAAAATCAAACAGCTTGGAAAGAATAAAAAAATACTTTGACAGAAAAGAATAAATGAAGGCGATGCTCTAAGAAGTAAGGCAAGTAAGCACCGAGACTGACTTTGACACGAACGGCACTCGTGTTACATATGTTTAACCTTGAGCAGTCGTTTTCATAGCCCGGGGGGAGATGGAAGACACAAAGTGGGAGTAAATGGCATGCTGTCAGTGTGAAGGGGGAACTAGGTATGTGACACCCAGGGAACAGCAAAGAAAATTGCAAGCTGGCGCTGACTAACTAAGGAGCAGGAACAGTGCGAGGTACCCTGAGAATTTGAATCCGTGAGTCAGACACGAGGTTTACTGCCTGAACTCACAGCACTTCGGCAGTCTACACTCATTTTGATAATCTAGTTTAAAAATAATGTGGGTAAAACAAGTTTTGCAACAAAACGCATTTCTTGAGCTAGAGTCTAAACTTCTAACAACATACTTCGCAATATGTGAAGCAAAACTGAGAGAATTCTAAGAAGGAAAAGAAAATCCACAAACGCAGTGGGAGATGTAGTAACTTGCGTTTGTTTCCTGATCAAGCAGAGAAAAAAAAAAATACCCGAAGCTACAGAAATCTGAACGAAACTAACAAGCTTGATCTCATAGACAGATTTAGAACACTCTCCCCCCAAACTGTGGAACACATACTGTTTGCAAAAATATAGGACATGTTTATAACTACTGACCGCATCATTTAAAAATCCCAGTGCTTAAGGTCACACCCCGGACTCATTAGATCAGGATCTCTCGAGATAGGACCCGGGCAGTCACACATTTATTTTTGAGACAGAATCTTGCCCCAGCTAGAGTGCAGTGGCTTTTCACAGGTGTGGTCAGACAGCTCTGCAGTCTCAGACTCTGGCCTCAGCAATCCTCCTGCCTCAGCCTCCCAGGCAGCTGGGAGGACCACAGGTGCGAACCATTGCACCTGGCAGTGCAGCCACACCTTTCAAGTTCCCCAGGTGATTGCAATGTGTACTCAAGGCTGCAAACCATGGAATTACAGAGTCCTTTATAAGCTTCAGTGCTTTTACTATTTAAACAAGGAAGGATGAAAATGAATGACCCAGGGAGCTTATCTTCATTTAGAAAAGAATAGCTTTATCTAAGGCAAAAAAAATGAGGAGGAAGAAGATAAAAAAGCCAATGATGACACAGGAGACAAACATAATAGTGATGGAGAATAAAGTTAACTTTGTTAGTGTGTGTTATACTATCAAAAAAACAAATTATAGGTAAATAACTTAAGTGTGAAAAGCAGACCCATAAGTGTTCTAGAAGATACCATAGGAAAGGTATATTTATGATTTTGTATTGGAACAAGTAAAGAAAAAACAAAACTGTAAACCATAAAATGGTGGATAAGTTTGGGTGTATTAAATTTAAGAATCTCTTTTCCTCAAAAGACACCACACAGAGTGAAATATCCTAAATTGTGGACAGCGTCTGTGGTTCAGTAAGTAGGGCACTGGCCTCACATACTGAGGGTGGCCGGTTCGAACCCGGCCCTGGCCAAACTGCAAACAAAAAATAGCTGGGGATTGTGGTGGGTGCCTGTAGTCTCAGCTACTTGGGAGGCTGAGGCAAGAGAATCACCTAAGCCCAAGAGCTGGAGGTTGCTATGAGCTGTGATACCACAGTACTCTACTGAGGGCAACAAGGTGAGACTCTAAAAAAAAAAAGAAATATCCTGAATTGGGAGATGTATATATATGTATGTGTTTGTAACATTTTTAACTGGAATATATGAACAACTCCTATAAGTCAATGAGAAACTGACAACCTCAAAGAAAATGGGCAGAAGACAGGTACTTCACAGAAGTGGAAGCCAAAAGCCCTCCAGGCATATGGAAGTATGTTCATTGACAGCTAGGAGAGGTGAACTAGAAGCACAAGGAGACGCAGTCCACAGCCTCACCCCTGGGGTGCGGTCCCCAGCCGTGCTCCCCATCCCATCCGCACGGCTCTCCTCCCTGCCTTTTCCCCCAAGAGCTGACTGCTCCACTGATCACCCTGTTCCATCTCTTACTATCTTCTTCTCATGGATATTCAAACTTTCCCTTTCTTTTGGCTCCTTACAGCACAAAAAATTGCTCGAGCATTCCCCATAATTAAGAAAAAATCACTCCCCTGATATCCTGCCTTACTTTCCAAATTTACCCACCCAAGCTTACAGTCTCCAAATCACAGCCACACCTCATATGACCACCTCATCCTACTGCTTTGCAAGAGCCCAGGTTCATGAGCTTGTGTTGATCCTCATTGTGTCCACTATCATTGGGCTCCTGCCCATCAGTGGGAGAATCACTTGAAGCCAGGAGTTCAAGACCAGCCTGGGCAATATAGCAAGACCCTGTCTCTACAAAACAAAATGAATCAAAACAAAACAGCTGGGTATGATGACATGGGCTTGTAGTCCCAGATACTTGGGAGGGTGAGATAGGAGGATTGCTTGAGCCCTGTGAGTTTGAGGTTACAGATAGCTATGATCATGCCACTGTACTCTAGCCTAGGCAACAGAGTGAGATCCTCTCTCTCAAAAAAAGAAAAATATCATATTTATTAAATATTAAACCAAAATATTTAGTTCTAGCATCAAGACTGGCTATAGCATGAGTTTATTCAATACCATATTTTTACCAAAGATAAAATTAAAACTCATTTTGAAAGATATTAGGAAAATCATAGAGTGAAAAATTTAGAAACAAATGGTTGCCATAAATCTTTGCTTGTGGAACCATGGACTCTTGTAAGACAGGAGTTTTTCTACATTGACAGAACCCTCTTTTTTCTGAACTGTGTGCAATGATATAGACTAGGGGTTGGCAAATCATGACCTGTAAACCTAATCTGGCCCACCATCTGTTTTTGTAGATAAAGTTTTATTGGAACACATACATGTCCAATCAAGTACATGTTGTCTAGAATGCTTTTATGCTACAGTGGCAGAGTTGGGCAATTGTAATAAAGATTGTATGGCCCACAAAGCCTAAAATATTTACTTTGATGATTTATATAAAATATGTACTAGCCTTGATGTAAATCAGACTTTCTCAACTGGGTTTTTTTGTTTTGTTTTTTGAGACACAGTCTCACTTTGTTGCCCTTGGGTAGAGTGTTGTGGCATCATAGCTCACAGCAACCTCAAACTCTTGGGCTCAAGCAATCCTCTTGCCTCAGCCTCCCAAGTAGCTGCGACTACTGGAACTTTTTTCCACTGTTAACATAAAATAAGCTGTATAAGTTATAATTTCCAAGAGTAAGGATAAATCCGGGCTATGGGAAAGTGCTCCCCATCCAGGTTTGAATGCAGGTAGGTCACAAGGTAACTAATAACTAGTTTTCTCTAAAACTTCACTTAAAGAACTAGTTTGATATTACTATTAGTAAATATATCACTTAAGTGGTTTAAATAATCAGAGGCAGAAAACCGTTGGAAAATTGAAAGATCTAATCCCCTCGGAAGACCAAGTTGGGTATTGGAGCTTTCAGAAAAGAAACACAATCTACATGAAAAGCCCCCTCAGTCTCTTGCCTTGTCTGCAGGTGTTAACCTGGCCCAGGGCTTGTCCGCCCGGCGGTCATAGTCAGGAGAATCAGTGACTTCTACATACTCATTAAACCGCAGAATCCTTCGAGCTTGTAGCTCTGCCACTGTCGGTCTCAGGCTGAGCTGCAGGAGAATAGGAGAAAAAGACAGAGTTCAGGAAACCGCTTACGGCCACATGGTGGCAAGTTTTCTATAGAGAACACCTCAAAGTTATGGTTAAATAAGGTCACTTTCAGGTATCACAAAAAAAAAAAAAAAAAGCAGCAGTGTCTTGGGAATTTCTAATGAGAGCTAGAAAGCAGTGTGCCCTGATTTTTGAGACTATAAAAATTCATCACTGTTAGATAGGTCACAGTCTGTGGCAACCATCTGAATAGTGCTATCCTCCCCAACCTGCCTGGCAGTGTGAGAAAGGCCTGTCATCCCTGACACAATGAACAAGTAGTGACACGGGCACAGTAGTAACCCAGATAGGGGATGGCTGATTTGGTGACTGAATTATCAAGATCAAAGCTGTGAAATTTTTAGAAATGAGAATACAAATCTCTGTTCCTACTATACTAAACCTATATTCAGAAATGCACAGAAGGATGACACGGAAATTGTCGGGGAAGGGTGTGCTTACAGTGCAGTCGTCCCTGAGAGAATAAGGCTTTTAGTGGCCCGGAACGCCAACGGGGAGGAACCAGGAGGGGAGAATCACTGGGGAACTGCACTTCCGTGGGGCCATCGTGCTTAAAACAGCTGCAGCCTCTAAGACATTTCTAACATCTGGGTTCTTCCTTCTGCCCTTTGTCAAACTCAAATTTATAATTATATTTAATGTAGCCAGCCCTTGGAGTATTTTCTTTCCTCTCTTGGTCCTTTGTCAAGCTAGGAATAAGACTGAAACAGTTACACCAGAGGAAGAACTTGCTCCCTGGTCTACAGGGGTCACCTACTCTCTGCTACTTAGGGTCACCCCCTTTTCTGGCCTTTCTCAGGTGACAGGTATCATAGAATTTCCAGGCAGGGAGACCCAGACCTCTGTTTCCCCTATGGGGTCCATTTTCAGCTTGTTTTCTCTCTCCTATATTCTTTGTACGTAGCCTGACTATCTCTCATCTAAGTGGTCCTCCATGGAGGTGTTCCTTATTTGCGTGGTCCCCAGGGTGGTACACCAGGCACACACTGTGTACTCAAAAATAGTCCCTTTCCTGGGCCTCGATTTCCTCCTGAGGCTGAACTAAGTCAAAGGCCCAATATTCAAAGCATTCGTGGAATCGGAATCTCAGAAGGCCTGGGCCCACACCGCGAGCCCACTTCAGCTGGAATATGCCAGCTATGGCTCCTTGCACCTTCACAGAGCCCTGGTAGTCAGTGGGCAATGGAGGAAATAATCTAGGTGGTGCTGCTACCTTCTTCGTTGCTGTCCAATCTGTAACACTAGCTTCTTGCTGCCTTTTCGGGGCAGGTAGGAGAAAGGAGGCAGAGAAATCCTTGCCTCTGAGAACAGGCCAGAAGGAAAGTAATCAATGACCACAGAGGTCAGAAGTTCTCCATCCACTCTCGCCCTCAAGACTGTGTCAGTCACGGGGCCGCCATCAGTACTTATGGCTGACCTGTACCCATGGCAGGAGCTCTGTGTCGGGGAGGCCAGTGGCTACAGAGGGTGAGGGCAGCACTCTTGCCTTGTGGAGGAGCCCAGCTGGATTGACAAAAAGGCTTTATATGTCACAGGAGTGAGCCCAGAGCAATGGGGAAGAGCGAATCTTGTCTGCAGCTAGTGACGTGAGGGCCACTGAATGCTAAAAGAGTGATTTCTAGAAACTAAGTTGATTCAGCTTGATCATTATTTGACATTTAAAAAAAGAAATGAATTAAGGATCTTTATCCTTGAAAACCAAAACTGATAACTTCCAAAATGCAGTCCCTGTAACTTTTCCATGGGAAATGGACTGTGTCCTCCACCTGCCTTGGTGTGCTTTCACTATGGAAGGACAGGTCACACACTCCAATGAGCTGTCACAGTTTGTCACTGCCCATTTCCAGGTGTGAAAGGTATATCTGAAGAATTATTATTACAAAGGTTTACAATGAAATATAAACTCTGATGGTGCTGAATTTTTCCAAAGACTTATTATTTTAACACAGAAAAAAGTGATGACTCTGGCATCAGATTTATATTTTCGTAAATAAATGAGACCAGTTTGTTCAAGTTTTGGAGGTAAGCTATCTGTCAACTTGGATAGTACTGAAGCAGGCAGGCTGGACGATCAAGTTCACATAACCAATTACTAACCCAGCTCTGATATGGAATAGCGGCAAATTTGCAGTAGTAACAAAATATTTATTTGTTTAACATTTCTAAGACTAAATGGAATGTCTTTCCTTTTTTAAAAAATTTTTTTGGTCCCTCCTACTCTGTCCTAAAACATTTCTTTTTTTTTTTTTTTTTTTTT